CTGGTTTTATCCTCTCAGCAGTCCTGTAAGCTAGTTAATATTATCTTCATATTTGCAGTTGAGAAAACCAAGGCTTAGTTATAGTTAAGTGATTTGTCTGAAATGCACAATTAGTAAGGTGTGAAACCTAGGCTTGCACATATCCTCTGCCCCTAGACTCTCTCCCATTATATCAGACTTCTCATAATTGCCATCCAGAAGGGTTTACAGTTGTTTAAAGGCATAATTTTCAGTTTTCTGGATTTCAGTGGAACACCTCATTCATGTACAGTTAATGAAGTAGTATAATTTAAAGTTCATAAGCTTTCTTTCCAATTTGAATTATCATATATTTTCTTAGTCTGTTTTTCGACAATGTCACAGAACAGTTGGAGAATAAAATTACATTTGACAAATACTATTCTGTGTCTAATTTTGTAAAAAGGCACATTTATTACATGTACTTTTCCAAGTTGAGAAGACTTTGAATTTAACACCTCCTACATAATTAGTTGTTGGGATAAAATATTGCTAAATCGCAGGCTAAGTTTACAGTACATGTTGATTTAGTAAATGCTGTTTCCTTATTTCAGTTTTTGTAAACGTAGTACTTACTCAAGGTCGTGATTCTGAAAAAATTCTTATTAACTAATTGAGATCTTTTAGAATGCTTTAAAGATACATATAAACGTAAAGTGCCGAATTAGCTCAAAAGACATTTATTTCACATACCATTAAGTCTGTTGCCTAATAAGTTACTATATAAAAATAAAGGTAATTAAATCAGCATTTCCCAGCAGCATTGTATTAATAGGGACTTTATTAATAAAAGTGCATTGTTGTTCTTTTTTTATGAATCAATTTTTAAACTATTTTTTAGTTTTTTTTTAACGTACATTAAATGATAATTCATTGCTTTGAAATGGTCTAGGGTCAAGAATGATTAGTTATATTATTCCCATATTTTTTGCAGTTATGCCTGTGAAAATTGCTGTTAACTGAGGATAAAGCTTCCCCCCAAAATCTTTGTCACATTGAAAATTGGGGGTCTTTTCTCATTGATGCTGATAATATTACAGGATACCTTTCAACTGCAAAAGAATTATTGTGTTGGAAAATTATATGCTGCTCTTACAATATGTTCCATAATCTTAAAGAAAATCCATGTAATTTGAGGCGGAAGTGTGCAGTATGCTCATATTCTTAATGTTGGAAGGATATACGTGCCTTTAACGCTTATGTGGGCATTCAGTGGTTCTCTTTTGATTACAAGTGATTATATATATATATAGATTAACATTAAGTTTGTTATGTAATACATTTTAACATCTTGAAAAAGAAAGTAAAAAGGTTCCTGTGCTATGAGGGGAAAAGACCACATCAGCAAAGAAGGGAGCTAAGAACAATTCTTTAAACAGGTCTTTTGACTACACTGCAAAGTGGTGTGATCTTGATCATAGGAAAAGTACTTAGGCATTAAGAGAAATTTTCGGAAAATATCTGGGAGTGTTGTAAGTAAAAATCAGAAGAGTGTAACTTGTAATGAACATTAAGATTTTTGTTAATGTGGTTAACTATTTACCTGGCATCTGGGTGTCGTACAGGGTGCAAGGTATTTAACAATAAATTACTTTCGTATGAACTATTCTCTTCCATGATAAGAATGGTAGGAATGACATTTTAAGTGAAGATTAAGTAATAATTTTAGCTACTACACAACACTGTGTATCAGATACTCTTCTAATCACTTTATGTGCATTTATTTATTTAACTCTGTAAAGCGAGATATTATTATCCCTGGAAACTGAGACTCAGAAATTAAGTAACATGCTGGTTAGTGGCAAGAAATTATGACACACTCTATATGCTTTGAAAACTGGGAAAGTAAAAAGGTAAGAGTTACTTTTTTCTTAATCTTTCAGTTTTTTCTTAATCTTTCTACTGCATATATACGGCAATAATAGATTGTATCTTTAGAGAAAAGGTAGCATTTATGTTAAAGGTGCAGAATAGTGAAGGGTTAAAAAATGTGGGCTCTGGAGATAACTTCCTGGGTTTGAATTCTGACTGCCACATAGTAGTTCTGTGACTCTGAGCCAGCTCTATAATTTAGGAGCTTGTTTCCTTATCTGCAAAATAGATGTGAATCATTATTTATTCATAACAAATATTGAATACCTACTATGTGCCAGCCCTGTTCTAGGCATTTAGTAACTAAATATCTATTTCATAAGGCAGTTGGAAGGATTTAAATGAGTTATACACATAAAGCATTTAAAACAATGCTTGGCACATAGTAAATGCTCAGTTATTTTATAGTTGCATGTAATAATTCAGTATTGGGAGGTTGACACTTTTCTGGTTTTTTCCAACACAGTGAAAATAACACTTTAACCTTTTTTAATGGCTTAAGGGTCATCATTGTCAATATAGATTTTTGTACTGTGAAAATACAGACATAGATGTTTGGGAAGATAGTGAAAAATGTCAAATGTCAGCTTGTTTTTTTATCTCTTAAAGTGAAGATGAAGAATTTATATCTATACATGGCTGCATATTTACAGGACTGATTAATCAATCAGTGAAAGCACCTTTCTCCCAGATAGGACTTGCATTGTCATTTTCACCCTCTTTTGACTGTCAGCATTCTCTAAAACTTTATTTCTAGACCATAACAACATTGTACCAAGTTGGCCTTCTTGTCAACTTCAATTTTTATTAAATCATTGTTCATTGATGGTGTATCAGAAAGAATTCCTCCTCCTTTTGGGAATTTGTGCCTCTGTTTTTTGACCTTTTTTCCCCAGTTTTATTGAGAAATAATTGATATACATCATTGTGTAAGTTTCAGGTATACAGCATGATTGTTTGATTTAAATATATTGTAAAATGACTACCACAATAGGTTCAGCTAACATGCATCTTCCCATAAAAGTACAATAAGAAGAAAAGAAAAAAGGAAAAAAATTTTCTCCTTGTGATGAGAACTCTTCGGATTTACGCTCTTAACGACTTTCCTATATCTTATATAGCAATGTGTTAGCTATAGTCATCATGTTGTACATTACATCCCTAGTATTTACTTTAATCTTATAACTGGGGGTTTCTAACTCTTTGACAACTTTCCTCCAGTTCCCCTCTCTCACCTTCTGCCTCTGGTAACCACAAATTTTTTTTCTATGAGTTCATTTTTTTTTTTTTTTAAGATTTCACATATAAGTGAGATCATACAGTATTTGTCTCTGTCTGACTTACTTCACTTAGCATAATGTCTTCAGGGTTCATCCATGCTATTGCAAATTGTAGGATTCCCTTACTTTTTATGGCTGAAGAATATTCTATTGGAGACATATGCACAACTTTATCTGTTCATCCATTGATGGACACTTAGATTGCTTCCATGTCTCGGCTATTGTAAATGATGGTATGGATGTTATTCTACACCAAAACCCTAAGATTTGGCTGTTCCCACTAGAAGATACTTTAATACACATGACCCAGATTTTCTTTAAATTCAGTGCTACTACAGACATATATAACACTAAAAATAAATCTTTAAGTAGCTGGTTGAGGTTGGTGGAGGGGATTGACTACAGAGGGGCATGAGGAAGCCTGGAGGTGATAGAACTGTATCTTGATTTTGGTGGATCTTACATGACTATATACAGTTATTAAAATTCATCAAACCATACAGTTGAAATGGGTACATTTTACTGTATGTAAATTATTCCTCAATGAAAAAGGAAACCAAATGAATCTTTAAAGGTATGAGGTAGAAAATCTCTTATAATGGATTACACTTCTCATGAAATATTTCTGTAGGATCTTTATTTTGAATAATGTCTTAGGGCACAAGTTGAATCATTGAAATGAGCAGAAAATTGTTAAAAATTTTTATTTCTAATTTTTGACTGTTTCCTTAGGGTAAAGATTTTGATTTTACAGTTAGTAGATTAGCTAACCTAGGGTAAGCTTATACTTCTGATACTTTATTTCATTGTAGGTATAAAACAGTGAAATGAATCATCAAAAAAAATTCTTTTGATCCAAAAAAATTTGGTGAAAAAAATTTTTGATGAACCATGTACTAGCTTAGATGACACTTTTGAAAACTGAGTTGATTACATTTTCATTCATGAAACATCATTTTGTTTTGTATTATTTAAGCTTCTTTTTTGCAAGCAATAAAAACCAACTCCTGCCAAGCACAAAGATGGCTACTAGAAGAGTTTTGTGGGGCTCAGAAAATTGATAGGAGGCTGAAGGCTCATGTCTAAGAGAAACAAACCAAGGGGACTGCAAAGGGCTTAAAAAAATAGGAACCAGGATGCATAGCATCTGTTTCACAACTGGAGCAGCCTGGTCAGGGCACCATTGCTTTTACCTCTACTGCCACCATTGCTATGAAGAGCTTCTGACTGCCTTGGTAAAAATTCAGAGTTGCAGGAGAGGGCTCTGTTCCGGCACGCAAACTTTAGCTGTGGAAGACCATACACAATTTTAGAGAGGTAATTCCTCAATAGCGTGTGAGGAAATTGAGGTGAAAGGATGCCAGGCACTGCATAAAGTCGGGAGTCTTGCTATGTGAATAAATTCAAGAACAGTTAACCTATCCTCCATCTTAAACCCAGCAACCTATAACTTACTGCTCCAGTAAATTTGGTTAAGTTGCTAAATTAAAGTAACATGAAATCTTTCAGAGTGTTGTATTAGCAGATGGGTTCTCTAAAGCATTTCCTTTGTTGTTTAGTAATGTTACCAGTACATTCTTCCTTCTAATGACATGGCTTAATTTGAAATGCCGAAACTACTCTTCAGAAAATGTACAGCAATCATTTAATCATATTAGCTCAAAAAATCCTTTTTGGTTAGAATATAGATGCAAATACAGGTTTTAATCTTTTCAGTGAGGCCTCCTCTTATGTAAATCATAAATACATAAAGTATGGTATATTTTGGTACTATTTCTTAAAGTGTGGTACACTTTATTGATGATATATGCAAAAATAATTTTAAATAGTATGCAGGTGAACAATTTTTAAGTAGTTATATTTTTACTGTAAAGTATTTTATTTATACACATATATATATATATATCACAGCAGATACTTGGTTTTAGAATGAAGCTGAGTAATAAAAATGAGTTAAAGCCTGTTTACCAAAAAAAGTAAATAAGAATATTAATAGTATGAGAATATGGCAAAAATCTTAAAGATGGTATAAGGATGACTGAAGTTTGGAAATCCCTAGTCTATACTACAGACCCAGGAGTCACATTCAGGCAGAACAGTGCTTAGGATTTTTTTTTTTTTAACTATGAAAAATATTAAGAAAATTGAGACACAGGTCTGGGCTCAGGAAGCATCCATTTTTATGCTTTGAGGTTAGCACAGTTTTTTTTTTTTTTTTTTTTTGAGGTTAGCACAGTTTTAAACTTTCCTCCATTTGTAGATGGTAGCAAGGCTTCTATCATGGGTCTAATAGTATATTTCTTACACAGTAGGGCAATAGTATGAGCACTGCACTGTTTTGTCCTGAATAGATATAATTGTGATATGTATATATTTTCTTTAGGAAGGCAGGGGACTGTGTCATATTTCAGAAGAAAAGTTATTTTAGCAAGTGAATGAAATAAAAGACTTAGTACAGAGAGTAATTAAGTAAGAGTGCTACTTTTCAGCTCTGGAGATATTGTTACTCATCATGTAATACTGTGCAATTTTGGAAAGCCTGTAGTTTTCTAAATTAGAAAAAAAAAAAGGAAATCTCAAGAGGCGATTGGCTTTATTAGGTTGCTTGGTGACTCAATTCATCATGTTTTTGGTGTTTTGTTATTCCTTTACAGTGAATTGTTGAGGTTTATAGGACTGTTATGTTTCTTTGTTGAGTATCTCTACGTGGAGTATCTCCATGCTGTTGCCCTGTTGTTGAACCATCCCCCTTTCTCCCATCTTCACTGTGTCTGTTTTCTATTATTATTTTTCTTTGAACTGTTTCTCATTGCTTCTCTTGCTTCTTCTCATCTTTAGTCATTATTTCTCTTATCGTTTCCTTCTGTTGCCTTTGAATTTTTGTCTCTTTTCTCTCCTTTTGCTATTGTTTCTCCATGCATCTTTGTCATAATTGGTTTCCAAAGGCCATTGCCAATTCATGGATATGCGTCCTTCTGATTAATGAACTTTGGGGGCTGATATTATCCTCACTTATTGATTCTCCTGGATTTTTGTTGATGCGTTTGGAGACTTTTTTTTGGAACTTTCTGGCTCATGACTCTTACAAGTATGGGTAAGTATGAGCATTATTGCATGTTGTTTCTAAGAAGGCATGTAGTCTAAAGCATGACTTCTCTTCAGAAGTCTGTGGTATAGTAGAGTCAGGGGCAGAGAATGCTCAGGAAATTGATGAGAACCAGTGTACTGGCCCAAGAGCTATAGCAGAGTGTGAGGCTGGGAATGTTGGTTGTAAGTCAAATTGTATAGGGTTTGAATAGGCTGTAGAGTTTAAACTTTATTCTGCAAGTCCTAAGGATATTTTTGAACAAGATTAGATATATATTTTAGCAGGTAACATTGATAACTAAATAAGATATGTTGGAGTGGAGAGAAACTTGAGGCAGAGAGAACAATGTCTTTGTAACAATTACACCAAGAGGCAATGAGGACTTGAACCGTTGCATTCGTATTGAGAGTAGAAAGGAAGAGGGAGATGAAAGAGAATATGGAGGTAGGTTTGTGGTGGATTGAATATGTCAGGAAATGGGGGATGGAAAATGAATTTGTGATTTTGAACTTAGGACCCAGTAGGTAGGTGATGTTCTTAACTAACATAAGGAACAGAGGAGGAAGAAGTTTTCTGGGAAAAGATGTTTGGTTCATTAAAAAGCAAGTGGAGTGGGATGTGTCTGTGGAAGAAAAGCCATGTGAAGATTTCCAGTTGGCAGGTGGCAGTGCAGATAGAACTTGAGAAGTCGGGGTTAAAAGCCATGCATTGAGCTTTGCTTCCATGAGATTACCCTGTGGTCAAGGGGGCTGGATATATAGTGTGTTATATAGCTTCCTAGGACAGAACCTTAGGGAATGGTTCTTCACTAAGAATGAAAAGGAGTGGCCAGAGATAATAGGAGTCTCACCAGAAGAGCGAGGGTGTTAACTAAAACCAAGGAAAAGAGATGGTGTGGCCAACAGTTGCAGATATTGTTGGGGGGCCAGGAAGGCTGCCAACTGAAACAAAGTCCGTTGGATATAGCAACTAGAAACATTGGCAACCCTGAGTGCTAAGCAACTCAGAATTGCAGCTGAAATTGGAGAGAATTAGTAGTCTTTCTTATAGGACAAATCGAATATAACCACCTGCGACCCTTGGAATCTGATTTGATTAATAGCCTTGGCTGAATGTTTTAAAAATTGAAAACAATTTTGTGAATTAGCTACACTGTTTAAGAGAATACATAACCACTACTATATACAGTGTTATATGGCAAATATATCACAGTAAAGCTGGGAGGGAAAAAGTTCATCTTCCCTTACCCTCCCTATTTTCACTAAAATTGTGCCAGGCAAGCTAAGATATGTCTTAAGTCACAAACTATGGGCCAGCGTTTCATCTGTTAAAAAAATGAGTTGCTTATACTCTGTTACTTTATAAAGCCAGCTCTAAAATTTGTTTCTTCTATTTTTTCCTTTTATTATGTCTTTTGTTGTCATCTAGTTGACTCCTCATATCTGAGAACTTTTTTCCTTGTTTACCATACTGGAAGTAACTTGGTTTTGGCGATTCAAGATTGTTTTGTTGACTCATAACACATACACTCTAGACAACAAATAGTGGTAACTGAGAAGGCTGTGGTGATTTGTCTCTAGTTTGCCATGTGTTTAAGATAAAAATATTCCCTTCACAGGTTTGCCTAAAATTCTATTACTGATAATCCTTTTAAAGTTTAACCTGGGTGTAAATGGTTCACAGTTTGCTTTTGCAGAAAGTGAAAAAAAGAAATCTTAAAATAACTTTCTAATTATGATCTGACTTGTCTAGCTGATAGGAAATCCATGAAGGGGTAGTTAGGGCATTGTTTTATTTGTCTCATAGTCTGGCTTAAAAGAATCATGGAATTTCAGAGACTAACTAAAAGAAATATAGAATGTCAGAACATAAAGGAACCTTTATTGCAGAAGATTTAGACTGGGAAAATGAAAGTATTGAGCACAGAAAGGTAGAACAAAGATACTAAATATTCAAAATTAAATAATATGATAAAGTTGTAAACCAAAAATCATTTTCAAAACTTGTATATCATCTCACACCGGTCAGAATGGCCATCAGCAAAAAATCTACAAACAGTAAATGCTGGAGAGGGTGTGGAGAAAAGGGAACCCTCTTGCACTGTTGGTGGGAATGTAAATTGATACGGCCACTATGGAGAACAGTATGGAGGTTCCTTAAAAAATTAAAAATAGAATTACCATATGACCCAGCAGTCCCACTACTGGGCATATACCCTGAGAAAACCATAATTCAAAAAGAGTCATATACCAAAATGTTCGTTGCAGCTCTATTTACAATAGCCAGTACATGGAAGCAACCTAAGTGTCCATCAACAGATGAATGGATAAAGAAAATGTGGCACATATATACAATGGAATATTACTCAGCCATAAAAAGAAACGAAATTGAGTTATTTGTAGTGAGGTGGATGGACCTAGAGTCTGTCATACAGAGTGAAGTAAGTCAGAAAGAGAAAAATAAATACCGTATGCTAACATATATATATGGAATCTAAAAAAAAAAGAAAGAAAATGGTCATGAAGAACGTAGGGGCAAGATGAGAATAAAGATGCAGACCTACTAGAGAATGGACTTGAGGATACGGGGAAGGGGAATGGTAAGCTGGGACAAAGTGAGAGAGTTGCATGGATATATATACACTACCAAACGTAAAATAGATAGCTAGTGGGAAGCAGTCGCATAGCACAGGGAGATCAGCTTGGTGATTTGTGACCACCTAGAGGGGGGGGATAGGGGGGGGGGGGGGGAGGGAGATGCAAGGAGGAAGAGATATGGGGACATATGTATATGTATAACTGATTCACTTTGTTATAAAGCAGAAACTAACACACCATTGTAAATCAATTATACTCCAATAAAGATGTTAAAAAAAAAAGTAAATGCGACAGACACAGCATCACTTCTGTGATATTCCTGCCACAAATACAAAACCTGAATCTTATCCTGAAGAAATATCAGACAAACCCAACTGAGGGACATTCTACAAAATAATTAGTCTTTAATCTGCAAAAGTGACGAGGTCATGAAAGTCAAGGAAGAATGAACTATTTCAACTGAAGGAAATTGAAGAGACAAGACAATTAAATGCAATGCGTGATTCTAAACTAGGTCCCTCTGCTCACTAAAGGACATCTTTGGGACAACTGGCACAATCTAAATGGGAATTGAAGATTAGATGATAGTATGATATAAACAGTTATTTCCTGATTTTAATGGTTTTATTGTGGCTAGAAGACATATCCTTGCTTGTAGGAAGTAGACACTGAAGTATTTGGGGGTGACAAGGCATCAAGTTGGCAACTTACTCTCAAATGGTTGAGGAAAAAAAAGTTCTTTGTAATGTACTTGTAATATTTCTATAAGCTTAAGGTTTTTCAAAACAAAAAATTAATATAAGCAAGAAAACAAGAATAAAAATATTATAGCCTAGAAAAAACTTGTGTAAAATAATAATACTAAACAAAAATTGAAATTGGAAAAGTGTATGTTTTGTTTTAAAATACATTTACATTTAGAATTTCCTTGTGACTTGGTAAACATTTTTAGTTGTACCAAGGTACAAAAAAAACATGCTTCCCAAAGGAATATGACACTTTTTTTTTAAAGTGTTGAAATTCACTAGAATTGTTCTACTTTTTTTTTTTTTAATCTAAATAAAATGGCTAGAACTTTATGGTTTCATAGGGTATACTTCTTTTAGGCATTTAGAAAAGAATCAACTTTATTGAAGTATAGTATATAAGCAATAAAACTCATCTATTTTTAGTACATTTCAATGAGTTTTGATTTAATATACCTGTATAACCACCACCATATCAAGTATAGAACATTTTCATCATCCCAGGAAGTTCCTTTATGCTTCTTTTTCCCTCAGCCGCCATGGATCTGCTTTCACTGTCTGTAGATTTCTTTCATCATTATTTTAAGCTCTTAAAATTTCTTTATGTTTTATTTGATCTTTAATGAATCAAATTGGTTAGTTACGATTTTTAAAGAGAGGTGAATTTATCTCTTTACCTCCTCCTGAAGAGTAAACCGATTATAGCATATTACTTACATAATATGCCATCCACAAAAATGTTTTATAAGAAGTCTAGTTAGCACATTTAGGGCATGTTTTAAGTGAGTTGCAGGGGGTTTATACGATTTTCAAATAGTAGCTATCATCTTGCAAGATATTCATAAAATCATGCCATCTGACATAGGAAACACCTTTAAAATTTGCCTTGAAGTACATCATGGATTTCAGCTCATTAATCCCCTTTTACTTGTTAAGGTTATTTGTGTTTTAACTAATTTTTCCTTTATTTTCAAATTCATTTATTCTTAATAACTGTAATAATTTATATTACACATATGTATGCTTGAATTATTTTCTGTGTCACAAATAGAGTTAATGCTGTTGTGCCCATGTTATCTGCTAATTAAAGATCAAATAGATTCTTAAACTCAGTAATGGAATATAAAACCCTTCTGTTAAGCTTTTTGAAATATTGACTGTAATTGAGGATTATCCTTGGTGCAGTGTGTGGGATAACATAGCCTGGAAAACATGTTTTTTCTCTGAAGCAACTTAAACTACCCATTACCTTTTAGTGTCTCAAAATATTTTAAAATACAAAATACAAATCTTGCAATCCCTGGAGGTAATCCAGAATATTTCATTTGAGAATTATACTTTTCAAATTAATTAAATGCATACATTCAGATCTATTTATGAGAGTTGAAACAGTCTGAGTTTGTCTACAGTTATTCATTCATCTGTTCACTCAGCATTTGTTAGGGTTGGTATCTATTGTATTTCTAGACACTATTCTAGATGCTGTGGATATAACAGTTTATTGTTAGGAGGGAGACACAGATGTTTAAATACTAGTATCATAATAAATGCTGTAACGTATACAGCACAGGCGTACTTTGGAGACGTTGTGAGTTTGGTTCCAGACCACTGCAGTAGAGCAAATATCTCAATAAATTGAGTCACATGAATTTTTTGGTTTCCCAGTACATATAAATGTTATGTTTACACTACTGTTGTCCATTAAGTATATGATAGCATTATGTCTAAAAAAACAATGTACATACCTTAATTTAAAAGTACTTTATTGCTAAAAATGGTAACCATCATCTGAGCCTTCAGCTGGTGGAGGGTCTTGCCTCAGTGTTGATGGCTGCTGACTGATCAGGGTGGTGTTGCTGAAGGTTGGCGTGGCTGCAGCAATTTCTCAAAATAAGACAACAGTGACGTTTGCTGCATCGACTGACTCTTTCTTTCACAAACAATTTTTTGTAGCACACAATGCTGTTTGGTAACATTTTATACACAGTAGAACATCTTTCAAAATTGTAATCAGTCCTCTCAAATCCTGCCACTGCTTTATCAACTTAGTTTATGTAATATTCTAAATCCTTTGTTGCAACAATCTTCACAGCATCTTCACCAGGAATGAATGCTATCTCAAAAAACCACTCTTTGCTCATTCATAAGAAGCAACTCCTCATTTGTTTTGTTATAAGATTGTAGCAATTCAGTCACATCTTCAGGCTCCACTTCTGATTCTAATTCTCTTGCTCTTTCTACCGCATCTGCAGTTACTCCCTCCACTGAAGTCTTGCACGCCTCAAAGTCATCCGTGAGGGTTGGAATCAACTTCTAACAAACTCCTGTTCATGTTAGTATTTTGACCCCTTCCCGTGAATCACAAATATTCTTAATGGCATCTAGAATGATGAATCCTTTCCAGAAGGTTTTCAATTTACTTTGCCCAGATCCATTAGAGGAATCACTATCTATGGTAGTTATAGCCTTATGAAATGTATTTCTTAAATAATAAGACCTGAAAGTCGAAATTATTCCCTGATCCATGGGCTGCAGAATGGATGTTGTGTTAGCAGGCATGAAGACAACATTAATATTATTGTGCATCTCCATCTAGAGCTCTTGGGTGACCAGTTGATTGTCAATGGACAGTAATATTTTGAAAGGGATCTTTTGTTTCTTAGCACAAGGTTTCAACAGTGGGCTTAAAATATTCAGTAAACCATGTTGTCAACAGATGTGCTATCATCCAGGCTTTATTGTTCCATTTATAGAACACAGGAAGAGTAGATTTAACATAATTCTTAAGAGCCCTAGGATTTCCAAAATGGTAAATGAGCATTGGCTTCAGCTTAAAATTCAGCTAATTCTTTTATTAGCCCCTAACAAAGGAATCAGCTTGTCCTCTGTAGTTTTGAAGCCCGGCATTGACTTATCCTCTTTAGCTATGAGTGTCCTAGATAGCATCTTCTGCCAATATAAAGCTGTTTGTCTATATTAAAAATCTGTTGTTTAGTGCAGCTACCTTCATTAATTATCTGAGCTAGATCTTCTGGATAACTTGTTGCAGCTTTTCTACATCAGCACTTGCTACATCAACTTGTACTTTTATGTTATGGAGATGGCTTCTTTCTTTAAATCTGATGAACCAACCTCTGGTAGCTTCAAACTTTTCTTCTACAGCTTCCTCACCTCTCTCAGCCTTCATAGAATTAAAGAGAGTTAGGGCCTTAGTCTGGGTTAGGCTTTGGCTTAAGGCAATGTTGTGTCTGGTTGGATCTTCTATCCAGACTACTCAAACTTTCTCCATGTCAGCAATGATGGTTGTTTTGCTTTCTTATCATTCATGTGTTCACTGGAGTAGCACTTTTAGTTTCCTTCAAGAACTTTTCATTTGCATTTATTCACAACTTGGCTGTTTGTTGCAAGATGCCTAGCTTTCAGCTTATCTTGGCTTTTGACATGCCTTCCTTACTAAGCAATCATTTCCAGCTCATGATTTAAAGTGAGAGACAGGTGACTCCTCTTTTTACTTGAACACTCAGAGGCCATTGTTTGGTTATTAATTGGCCCAATTTCAATATTGTTGTGTCTCAGGGAATAGAGAAGCCCGAGCAGAAAGAGAGAGTTAGGGACCAGCAGGTCAGTGGAGCAGTCAGAACACACATTGTTAAGTTCACCATTTTAT